TCGGAGAGAGAAAAGGCAGCGGTAAGAGGGTTGATGGCAGGACGAGGCTTTATATCAAATGGCTTCAGGTCAGCGAGGCGAGAGAGGGCCCATGTCGACAACGCTGTGCCCCCGGCGGAAGAAACTAGCCGCAACCAGGAACTGACCGGGCATGGTCATCGCTGGCCAGGCAAATACACTGCCTAGCTACCTTGACCGTTGATGATGTGGGAGGCCAGGCGAGGACAGGGCCTGGGCTGTGGTGGAGATGGACGGTGGTCGAGATTGCAGGCGCCGGCCGCCAACGTCTCATCAATCCGTGTGGCTCCCCCCCCTCTCACTGGGATGATGGGCAGGGGTTCTCTCTGCAGGCGATGGCAAAATGGAAAACGGGTGATGAGGCTCATCTTGGCGGCACCAGGCACAGCAGGCACAGGGTAGCGGTCGAGTGGATGGCTGGCTGTTCGGCGCCAACCGAGGAAGCGAGCATGGCGAGGTAGAGGGCACAGTAGGTACCTAGGCTTGCCAGGTACCCAGGTAGGTACGGTAGGTACCATGTAAGCGAGGAAATCTCGCTGTGGTGCCTGTGTTTGGTGGAAGTCGCTTTCGCCCTTGTGTCCACCATCTCCTGCCTCCAGCAACATGGGACGAAATCTGAAACGACGACTGGCAGAAAAGCAAGACCCCACGCTGGAGCCGGTATTTACAGGGGCTGTGTGGGTTTCCGACGGCCGGGGTCGCCTTTCTGGCAGGTGCTCCTGACCGCCATCGCCCTCCTGGGCCAGAGCGACAGCCGCGGCGCCGTGCGTTAGCGCGCAGTCCAGCCTTTTGCGCCCCTGTGCATCTCCTGCACCCCCCTGCCGCCCTTGCACAGCTTCCAAGTACCCCCCCCTGAACACACATCCCCTTAAGATGCGCCATATCCATGACCCCTCGCAAAGATCCAACCCCAGCTTGCGGTTTCAGGTCAACAACACTTCATGCACCATGTCCCTCAGGAAGATTACTGCCCGCCACGAAATCTTCCTTTTCCACCTGGGATGCCTGTCTTTGCCCCAATCAGGGCGTTGGCGATGGGATGACACCTGTCGACGTGATCATGGGGTGACGTCTGTATTCCTTGAGGTCAGCTAACAAGCATCGTGCTTAAAATGCCAATCGATCTTGATTGTCGCTCACTACATGTACACGCTACGGCGGGGCTTGATCTCAGCATTGTCAACACTCGAGTTGAGCTTCGGGAAACCTGCATCATGACGACTACGGCTACATTCTGGGTCTGTCCAGCTGGATTTTGTGAGATACCCAGCCACACAGTACATTTAAACGCACAGCCATGATCGTCGTCATCGACAATGCTCGTAGCGATTCTCCCGTTCACCGCAACCACGACCCATCGATCTACCTTACACGAGACGAACAACCGTCTGTGCTCTCCGTACCCAGCGGCCCAGAGATCGGGAGGTGTGATTGAATAACCCGCTACCACGAGCCAGCGCCTGTCATACCCAAGCTTCGACACCAATCTTGCAGCAGCGTGAGGCCTAATAAATTGATGCTTACCTTATTTTTCTGCTGCCAGCCACGCTGCCAGCCACAACCTCTCTTCCTTTCAGCCTTCGACCCAAAGCCTTTCTTTGCCTTTAAGCCTTCGATCCAAAAGCTCAACGGCTTTACTGTCTCTTCTGGAAGTCTTTTTTCCAAATCTGTTGATTATCCCCCCCTTTCTTGTTCTCGCTTCTGCACGCCCTGCAGATTGCGGTCCCTCGTTTATATCGGAAACCTGTCCCCAACTTGGACCAACACCCTGTCCCCCGATCCTAGCCCCCTGCCATGGCGCGACATGGGTCCCCTACTACTCTTCCCTCCTCATGGTCAGCGACCGATATATCGACCAATTGACCGCCCCATCGCGTTCCATTACACGCCACGGCCTGTTTGGCCTTGATTGTTCGACCTCTCCCCCTTTCGCGGGTCCGAGCCGCTGGCCGTGGAATGCAGTCCGGCCCGGCTTTCTCGCTTTCAGGTGCTGTGGAGGGAGAGGGACTTCAAGTGCCCGACGACAGGAGCCGTGTCCATCCCCGATATTGCTTGACTGTGCTTGAATGTGCTTGGCTGGAGACCCCCACCCCCTAAGCTCCTCAAGTCCGCCGAGACCCCTTAGATGCGGAGTTGCATGATCGTGACGGCGCCCGGCGGCAGATGAAGGCAAGTAGTGATTTCTCTCCCTCCCACTTTCCGGGCGCCAGCCATCAGGCTTTCTTGGGTCGGATTCAGTATCGTACAACCTCGAGCCTTGGCCGGTTCCCATCGTAGTCGAAGAATCCTTCGCCGTGTGCGGGGATTGACAATGCCGTCGGCATGGCCCTTCTTGTGAACCCACAAGGGCGATGTGTCTGAGACTCTTAATCAGTGCTCTCCGGGCCCGCGTGTGACGACCCTTGGTCTTGGACAATCTTGTGCATTCTCGGTGCTGACGCCCATCTGGCAAGCGCCGGGTCGCTGCGGGAGAGGCGCTGGGATTGTTCCATCCAGGGGTAAGATTACGCATGCCGCTGGACCAGAAGACTAGTTCCTAAGCGGATGCCCAGGCACTCATAGAGGAGCCTGTTCAATGTGGTACTACTCCTGTCCGGCCTGGCGTGACTTGCGAGAGACATGACTAGACGCAGCATCTTCAGGGGGTGTTAAATATGGAAAGGAGATTCAACATGGTACCCTACACCCTGACTACATCTTGCGTTCACACAGGGGTTTCTTCCACTAGGGCGCGGCTTCGGCGGTTGCAGCACGATGTTGACAGCCTATATACCTAAAACCATTTTTCCAATTCCTGTTGGTGAGCGTTCGGTCTTCGCTCTTAAGCAGACGGAGGTCAACGTAGTCGAAAAAAAATAATCTGTGCCTTGCACATCCTGACTTCATGTCCTGCATATCAGCGGCGCGATCATTGGCTTTGTGTTTGCTTCACTCGCACGAGCTCCTCGTGTCGACTTGTTGTCAAAACTATGTGGGCCATTGTCTCGGCTCCCACTGACTGGCGAGCTGACTGTAGTACTGGTTCCAGCCCCGGCTTACTTAGGATTCTCTTGGCAAGACTCCTGGCGGCTGCGACAACAGAAACCGGACTTCATTGTCTCTTCGAGGCGAGTCTTGAACGAGGTCTCTCACACCAACAGCGCACGTCTGAGACAGCCGCACCACACGTCTGCTGTTACTCACATGTCTGCGGTACAGTGAGCAACACTGGGGGGTTTACATTTCAGCTTGTAACATGCACAGCTTCTGGTGTCTTTCCTCGACTCGGCTTGCCCATAATGACAAGCGGACATCTAGTTTGACACCACGTGCCAGACACGTTTCTTCAACAGCCCGTTCAGTATTATAAGAGTCATGATGTCTGCCCAAATTGTTCGCGCAGCAACGGAATATCCACCAAGAGCCCTGCCTTCAGCCGTTCTTGAACAAAGTCATCGCCGCTACAATTACAAAATGCTCGTCTCGATCCTCGTCGAGCTGACCCTGGCTGTTACGGTGGCTGCCTCGCCGTTGACGGCGCACCCTGTCGCTCGAACCACAGCAGCGACTGCCAATCCAACCACGAGTCTCTGCACGGGTGGACGAGTCTTTGTTGGCTGGCTGGATAAGTCGTTTGGAATCCTGCCCCAATGCAAATGTCCGAAGAGTCTGGTTTGGGACAAGAATAGGGGCATTTGCATCTCGCCTCCGCTCATCCCGCCGATCCTAAGGGCAGGGCAGAAGATTATCTGCGCAGCAGACTCGACCCTATACTGCGACTACGGTATGCTCTCTTATTCCAGATCTTCTCGATATCATGTCATTTCTGCGATGCGGTCAACCTGCTAAACCCGTTAGACAAGGACAATGATCTTTGCCTAAACAACACGCAGAATGTCGTCTTGGCGATAGTCAGCAGCATTAGCAAAACGCAGCTCAAGAAGCAGATTCGGGAGGAATGCAAAAAGAAGCCCAAGTGTCCTGCGGGCCAGATATGGACTGAAAAAGACAAGAAGTGCAAGAGCCCGTGCCTACCAAAAGAGTCGGCGCAGAAATGCAAGGACAAAGGTGGAAGTCCTGTCTGTGCGAAGACTCCGAAGGAATACTGTGACTATGGTCAGTCCCCCCCACCCCCAACCCCTCCTCAGCCTTCACGAAGCTTCGTCTCGCTGACGGTTTGGTTTGCAGACGAGAAGAACAACCTCTGCGAAGACAACGGGCTAAACATCCTGCAATGTCTCGTCCCTGGTGTCGACGGGACTGTTGGAGCTGTCGAAAATATTCTTGATGACCTGTTCGCCACGATTGGTGAGGCTATCGAAGTTCTAGGGAAAGATTGCGTCCTAGGTGGACTCGGATGCGTCTTGAATGACACCATCTGGAAGAAGCTCCTAGGTTTGAATGGGCTTGGAGGCATCATTTGTGGTCTTCCCATTCTAGGAGGCATACTTGGGAACTGTTAGTGAGGGAGCTAGACGGTTTGGACGTGCCGCACCAAACCAGTCATCTTTCGCTGAAAGTGTTCGTACCTATGACTCAGCAAGTCTGTTCCAATGTCACCTCGGTTTCGGCGTTGAAATAACCACCGAGGCCGAATATGATGTCGACGACCATCCGACAATTTCGCTCGCCAAGAAGACGTTGCATGTATCAGTGCTCATTGTCATCAGTAATCAACTGCACTACGTATGTCATTAGAGGAAATGAACCCGCCGCATCTCCCCCGAGACTTGACGGATGCGCACTTGCCAAGCCGGCCGCCGGACCTCAATCGCTCCGATGCCGACAGCACCCGTATGGATGCCCCGGCCCCAGCGCAACTCCGGAGGATACAGCGGTCCTGCGAGATTTGTCACCGCCGCAAGATACGGTGTGACAAGCAGCAGCCATGCTCCCATTGCAAACGTGGGGGCGTCACCTGTTTGTACCCACATGCCGAGCACCTGCGGCGGGCCCGCAAGCCCAAGACAACCATGGCCGATGTGGCCACCCGCATCTCGGAGCTGGAGCGCACTCTCGTCTCCGTATCGAACCAGACCGCACCGGCAGAGACAGTAACCTCCCGGTCGAAACCATGTGACACGCTCGGGACAGAGGGCCTGCATTCAGGGTCGAGCAGTGAGCAAGACAGAGGCCCGGGTGTCCTCGTTCAGAAAGGATTATCGAGTCAATATTTCAACGAGATATTGATTTCACGGGTTCTCGACGAGGTGTGAAGGGCCTCGGCAACTGATCAGGTTTCGTGCTGACAGTTTGAAAGGAGCAGGATATCCAAACAGTTCTATCGACACCGGTCAGTGAGGCCACACGGCCAATATCGGTGCCTCAATTCAATCCCATGGGAATACTTTCGGTCCCTTCATATTCCAGGCCATTATCAAGCTTCCTCCCAAACAAAACGGTGGCTACACACCTTTGGAAGGCTTACGTTGACCAGGTTGAGCCCTGCACCAAAGTCCTTCACATACCCACTGCCGAGGTTCTCGTATACACGGTTATCGACAAGCCGAGCGAGTGCAGTCCAGGAATGTTGGCCCTCTGTTTTGCCATTTTATTTGCTGCTGCCACGGTATACGACCAAGACGAAGCTGTTGGTGTACTTGGCGATGACCCCGTCGCAAGTCTGCAGCTCTTGAAGACTGGCCTCGAGCAGGCTATTGCCCACGCCGACTTTCTCGAGAGTCCCACTGTCACCACTATACAGGCACTCGCGATATATTTGGTATGTCTATGCCGTCGCCTCTCCATATGCCTAACTCGACTAACAATCTCATCGTCTGCGCTCCGGGTCCACAATCCCGGCAGAGGGGTCTGGACGATCGTGGGACTCGTAATCCGTGCCGCCCAGTCCATCGGCCTGCATCGCGACGGTAAATTGCTGGGACTGTCGCCCTTCGAATCTGAAATCAGGCGGAGGCTCTGGTGGTATATTGTCTGCCGAGATGGTCGAGCTGCAGAAGATTACGGTCTCGAAAACATGCGGCGAATGCCCCCTGGGTGTGCCGCCAGTATCGACATGCCGCTCAACGTCCACGACAGTGATCTTTACCCTGAAATGGACGAGCTTCCGCCGAATCGACCCGGCTGGACCGCCATGACGCTCTCTTTAATCGGCATCGCGACAGTACTCGGATGGCATGAAAACGCCCAGTCAACCCCAACAGCCAGAGATGGCACTCGCAGCCAGGTCATCCAGGATATCAGAGCACGCGCAAAGGGATATCTGAGTCGCTGCAACCCCGTGATCCCACAACAGCGACTGACCATGCACATCGCGGACTTCGTTCTTCGCAAGCTGGAGCTCGTCACGCGGCAGCGGATGCAGATGCATGCGCAGCCCGGCGCCCACGAGGCTTTCGCCACGGAGGAAAATCTCCTCGAGGCCGTGGAGATACTCGAACTCGGCGCCACCATGATGACCGACGATCGGCTGAGGCCCTGGCAATGGTCGATGCGCCTGTACCCGCAAAACCACATGCTGCTGTATGTACTCTGGCACTTGTGCGTGTGCCCAGATGGGCCGAACCGAGACCGCATCTGGCAGGCGGTGGAGACGGTGTTCAGCGACACGGAAGCCACACGAGCGGGGAGCGTAGGCGCTGGGGATTTGGGCTCGCGATGGGCTGTCCTCACAGTACTGAAGGAGAAGGCCTTCGCAAAGAGGGCCGGCAAGACGGCGGCCAGCGGGGCTACGAGGGCGCAGGATCAGATACAAGTGGCGACGCCGGGTGGAATGGATGCCGTGGGCGTCTTCACGCAAATGGGTAATTTTGACTGGGTGGACGACCTGCAGGTTCTACCAGACTGGACGACATTGATGAAGGATTTTCAGATGGAGAACACTTTCAAATTTGGGGTTTGAACAATTTATGGAGAGAGGAATTCATGTCGTTGATTAATTACATTACAAAGCAGTGAAGAGTACCCATGAGTCTATGTCGCCTAAGACCTTTTTCATCAATATGCACAATTCCGCCCGCCTCAGTCCCTATGCGTTCCTATCTCCCTCAGAATACCACGAGCAGTTTCCAACCAGTGCGATGGATTCTGGCAGCCAGGATAAAGGTAGTCCCGACCATACAGAAGACACCTGCAAAGATCTTCATGCCTAAGAGCCCATGAGGCGAGTCGATAATGGCACCGTTGATTGGGTTTGTGGTCAGTCCTCCAATGGAGGACGCAAAGAAAACAAGGCCAGTGCGGAAGCCAATTTCAGATAGAGGCGATACCTGAGCAACGAGGGGGCCGATGAGCGAGACATAGGCGCCCGAACAAAAGCCAAAGAGAATGGCAAAGGCGATGAGGGCGCCGTCCGTGGCGGCGGGGATCCAGAGGGCAAGAATCCAGAGGCCCGTGAGGTAGCAGACTATGACGAATATGTTGAGACGACCGATCTTGTCGCCGAGGAAGCCAGCAAACATACGACCGAAGAGGGAGGCGGCATTAAGAATGGGAATGAGGTACTGCACCAGATTTGGGTCTATGCCGGCTTCGAGCGCTTGGACGGGAAGGAAATTGATGGGTACGTAGATGCCATAGGTGAAAACCGTGAAGCCGAGCGTGATGAGGACGAATTCGAGCTCGCGGAACGGCCTGAGCAGCTGCGCTTTGGTAATCTTCTGAGGTGTCGGTGGGTGGAATGCGCGGACCGTAAGGTTGGCGAGGATGAGCAAAGCGAGGATGAGAAAAGCGCTGATACGCATCGCCCAAGCGAAACCAACTTGACGAATCAGCCGTGTGACCATAATCGGGAAAACGACACCGCCAATGCTGGAGCCGGTAGAAAGGATGCCAAAGGCGGCGCCGCGATTGACATTGAACCAGCCGTGGATTACGGCGATGGATGGCTGGAAGATAGCAGAAACGCCAATGGCGGAGCAAACGCCCTGCGCAAGTAGAATTTGATAGTACTCCTTGCATAGTGAGGCCATCATGAGACCAAACACGTGCAGAAAACTACCCATCAAAAGAAGTTGGCGCGGGCCATGCATGTCGTATACTTTGCCTAATATCGGCCCTGTCGCCGTCATGAAGAAGATCTGAAGAGAAGGAATCCATGATATGGTGCTAGGAGAATATTGACGAAGGAGGTCATTTTGATAGTACTCCTGGAAAGCGCCGACACCTATTGGCGTTAATATCGAGGTTCTTCATTTGACTGTGAAAGAGGAAATGTTCGTACTGTTGATCCAGCCAAAACTGCAAAAGGCGGTGCACCACACGCCGAGCACAACGAGCCATCCAGCTAAGCCCCCATCCGGAGCGTCGCTACCCGGATAAATGGCCCCCTTTTCTTTGTCCGATATGTTTGGATCGATTGTGGACGGCGCGTCAGACACGTAGTCATTGGGATCAAGAGCGCCGTGGTTCTTCTCGGCCGTATTGGAGGCGTGAGGCAGGTCGGCAGCTAGTTGTGACATGGTGCGAGTGGTGTAAAGTGTGATGGCCTTTGCTGACTCCAGGTTGCTATGACCTCCACACGGCGACGGCTCGTATTTAAACAGATATAGTCTGTGGCCGACCCTCGAAACACTTCCCAGGAATGGACGGCAGCTGGGAGCGGGTACCAACCGCAATGCGTGAACTTTGATTGCAAACCCCGACCGTCAGCACGCCATGCAACGTCAAGGATCCGGACGTATCGGTCGCGTGTGCGGAATTGGGAAACAAGGGCGAGAAAGGCCCTTGTTGCCTACGCCTACAAGGTGGGCTGGATGCGCCTCTTCGGCGCCGGCGCAAGTATAGCATCCGAGGCCGAGGGCCGGTAGGGCTGAGAGTTCGGCGCCGAGTCCAGCCTCATCTGGCCGTCAACGGGATCGACTTTTACACCCCTGAACTGGACAAATTTTCTCAGCATTTTCAAGTTGGCTGATCCATGGTGACAGACGGTTTCGGGCGCAGTTTGATTCGACGAGGTCCCCGAGGGGTACTTGCAGCCACCTCTCCCATCCCGGGCTCCAGGGCCGGCCTAAAATGCTACCGAGAAGCTGATTTGCCGATACCTCCCCTACGATCCAGTGCCCGGCACAGTGCATGATGACAGCAAAGTGGGCCAGCACGAGTAGCGATTCGGGTCGTTTCGCCCGCAGCGAGGTGAGGAATCCCGGGGTCACTACCTGCGGGCAAGCGAGAGCATGCCGACCGCGTCGCCGAGATGACCGACGGGCGAGACACGCGGTGACGAGTCCTTTGAGTCTGCGTCGAGAGACGAGTGAGAGTCATAGGTGGCCTGAATCCTCGCAAGGGCCTCCTGGTTGCCCTGCTTCTGCTCGTCGTCCATGCCGAGACTGTCCGTGATCAAGACCTGCAGAGCCTCGGTCTCGGCGCCTGTGCCGAGCTTCATGGAGATGAGCTGCCCGTCCTCAAAAACGGAGGCGTGATTCGATTTTATGAGTACGTCCCACGCCGCTGACGCGATGACGCGGACACCGCGGTAGAGCTCTATGTATCGAATGAAATCATCGAGCACAGTGGCGTCATCATCGGCGCAGGCGGCGTCGCAGAGGAGATTCATGCCGACCATCCAGCTGAAGACAAGCATTTGCATGGCATTGTCGGCGGTCGTCTCGGCTTGGGTCGTGTTGAAGAAAGTCAAGGCGTGGGCCTGGTACTCACGCGCAAGGAAGATATACTGAGGGGCCTTGTCTGGGCATGTTGAGGCGAGGTGTCGCGCTGAATAAGCGAGGATCTCGTTCATAAGGTAAGGAAGGCCAAGAGCCTGCTCGACGAGATGCTGGTGTGTGGGCATCTTGTCATGAACAGGAATAGCGCCAGAAAGAAAATGATGCATCAGATGCAACTGGTCCATGTGGGCGGACGGCACAGAGTGTACGTTCGGGACATCAAGCAAGAGGTTTGTGGCGCCCGGGGACGGGCCGGCCGAGGTGAAGGAGGGGCCTGGGCTGGGCCCGCCCATCGTACTTGGGGTCAGGGCTTGGAACGAACATGACCGCCTGGGGTTGACGCAGTTGAAGCATATAGGATGTGTCTCGTCACACTATCGATGTTAGAAAAGTCAGATCTAAGGCTGCTGGATAGTGCCATACCTTGACATGCCTTCGTTTGCACTCGACGCACCCGTGACGGGATTTCCGGTGTCCTCGACGTGGAGCCATGTGAGCCACTGACTGCAAAGTGACTCGAGGATGAAGAACGGGGAGCAACAAGAGACAAGCGAGTGGATGTGGCGTCGAAAACCGAGGAAACCGAGATGCGAGAGAAACCCGTTCACGTGAAATTGTCCTGCAGTCGCCGTCTTGATAAAAAGGGACTGTCTCGTACTTGAGGAAGCAGGCCGGAGCATGGGCGGAACTGAGGCTGGGTTCGCCAGTGGCGCAAGCTCCGGCCCGGCTTCGAGGCGGATCCAATAGGAAGCCAGAGAATACGTCGAATGCGAGTGGTGCGACGCTAGCATCGGAATCAACACGTAGCCAATCAACGAATGTTGGTTCCGCGGGTTTAGCTTCATATCATTCGCTCATCTACATCCGGCTCGCTATAATGCTTGTCCACCCTCGAGGCTTCCTCAAACGCGCAGTTCCCCCCAATAGTAGGTCCAGATATCGGCTCCCAAAAAGTCATCCTTGTACTTGGCCGCGGCCTCGTCGCCGGCTGCCCCCGAGCACACGAGCAGGGGCATAAAGTGCTCGCCGCCGCCGTTCGGGTGCATGTCAAAGCTGTGCGGGAACCCCCTCCAGCCGGCGAGCTTCTTCCCCCTCTCCTCGCTCTTCTCCGTCTCGATCGCCGCCGACAGAACGCCGTTCCACTCCTTGACCTGGCTTCGGAGCCTCGATCCGCCGGCGCCGGCCCGGAGCTCGCCAAACTTGCGCATGTTGTGGAACGACGCAAAGCCCGACCCCACAATGGCCACGTTGGAGTCGCGCAGACTCGCCAGCGCGAGGCCCATGCGGCGGTGCTCCTCCTCCGACTCGGACGCCAGCACGGAAAGCTGCACAATCGGCACGTCGGCCGCCGGGTTGATGAGCAAGAAGGGGATGAAGACGCCGTGGTCCCAGCCGCGCTTGGCGTCGAGCACGGGGTCGAGACCCTGCTGCGCGAGCGCCTGCCGCACCTCCTCCGCCACGTCGGGTGACCCGGGCGCCGGGTACTTCAGCGCGTAGGCCTCGCTGGGGAAGCCGCCGTAGTCGTAGTAGAGGTCGTGGTGCGTCGCCGACGAGATGGTCGGCCTCCTCGTCGACCAGTGCGCCGTCACGACGACGATGGCGCGCGGTGCTTGGGGCGTGTTGAGGCGCAGGAGCTTCGGCACGCGCTTCGTGAGCGACGAGACAATGTCTTTGTGGCCCGGGTCGCCGAGAACCGGCATCGGACCTGGTGTCGCGTCGTCAGCGGTGGCACGCTCTCACTCGCAAGCCATTGATCATGGAAGGCGCTTGAACCTACCTCCGCCGTGGGAGATGCAGATCACGGCGCCGCGTGTCATGGTCGGTGATGTTGTGTGGGAGTTTGACGAAAACGTGCGTGACAAGAAATGTCGGGCTGTTGCAAACATGAGATAGGAAGCGACAAGGTATTTGGCAGGTTTAACGAGCTGTCGGAGATGCATGGCCAAGCGTTGAAGGGGGGGCTTCTTGGGGCACTTAAAGGATGTCTGCACACCCCGCGACGAATTCAGCTTGGTAAGACAGGCAGGTGTGGCAAGGCTGAGACGTGGAATAAGTATGGCGCGATACAGCGATGGTGCCCCTCGTTCGGTTCACGATCCGACTCGATTTGCCGATGATACAAAACGAATTTGAACATGGCGCCATTCGGGTTCGGAACCTTCAGCAAGTACCTCGGAATGGCCGCCCATTCACTTGCTGTGCCGTGGCACCTGGTTGGCCTTTCCATTAGGTAGGTAGGTAGGTACCTCTCTACCTAGGTACCTACCTACCTAGGTGAGAACCCGATATAGGTAGGCAGCGTGTCATAGCCGCGCGGGAGCTGAGCTAATAAGGGACCTTGCTTCAAGTCCCCTGGGAATGCGAACCTCTAGCTCATCATCTCGTCAGCAGACGGATGCCGGCACGGATTCAGGCCTGGCCTGTCGAGTCAGTCCACAGCATCGCCCCTGATTACACATCAACCGCGCGCGCGACAAACAAGTTGACGTCTCGGAAAGAACCATCATTCTTCATCATGCGGAAATCGTATTCGTAAACCTTTGTTGATTTTTTAAAGCTCAGGTTTCTTTTTGCTTCCTACCATGCATGTCATGTCATGACTGTAGTCTCCTTCTTTCCATTTCCAACCGCACGCACACGGCTGCCAATGTCCAACGGGGTTG